ATGACCTGTTCATTTCAAATATATTCAGTGTTGCCCCTAAAATACTTTTTTATTTTGGCTGAACAACAACACTCGAGATGCGGTGTATTCTGCTGTACTTGCGGCCGCAGGATACACTGCATCACTTCTGAAAATAACTTCCATACGCAACGAAAGCCACGGGGAGGGTGTGGGGTTCTGTCATATTATTACATAGCTTGCAACAGTGCAACTGGAGGTTAAGTCCAAGTCCTGCCACTACTTGTATATAATTACTTGGCAAGGCATGATGACATCACATCTACAGAACAATGAGCGATCCATTGCAAGCCATGTAAGTGTAGCTTTGAAAATAACCCACATAACTTTGTCTACTGAGCGTTCTACTTGAAATTCTTGGCTGGCAAGTTTGATGTCTGGGTTTCCACCAAGTATTCTCACCACGGTCTCTTACAATACAATGTTTTTCATAGCTAATTTACCATGTTGTTTTAGCCACTTCTTTAACAGAAAAAAGATAACATTAGCCAGTGAACAATTTTGCTTTAAATTATTTGAATGACTAGCGTGAATTGCAAGCTGCCAACCAATGAGAAAGCAGCATTTGATCAGACGTGTGTAAAATTCTTTTTCCAGGCACGGACTTGATGTCCTTTTTAGCTCCGCTGTCTACTTTGTTGAGTGATAAGAGTGATTGTCCGGTGCCCTCTGTGTCATCTGTTCATTTCATGATGATATCCTTAATTCTCTAATTTTAATGAATATTTTTGTCATTGTTGGTAAAAAGTGATATTTCCAACTTCTTGTTGAAAACCGAAAGGCCGATTACCGGTACTTTGATATTATACATATAGGCACCTCAGGTGGACCTCTCTCAGGTTTGTTCATTTCATAATGATATGTTCAATTCTCTAATTTTAATGAATATTTTTGGTAAAAAGGGATATTTTTGACTTCTTGTTGAAAACCGAAAGGCCGATTACCGGTACTTTGATATTATACATATAGGCACCTCAGGTGGACCTCTCTCAGGTTTGTTCATTTCATAATGATATGTTCAATTCTCTAATTTTAATGAATATTTTTGGTAAAAAGGGATATTTTTGACTTCTTGTTGAAAACCGAAAGGCCGATTACCGGTACTTTGATATTATACATATAGGCACCTCAGGTGGACCTCTCTCAGGTTTGTTCATTTCATAATGATATGTTCAATTCTCTAATTTTAATGAATATTTTTGGTAAAAAGGGATATTTTTGACTTCTTGTTGAAAACCG